TGTTAATCCCAGGGCTATGTATCCTAATATTTTAAGTATATATCCCGTCTCTATTGCCGTGCGAGTTCTATGTTGGCGTTCAAGCGATGTTAACAGGTCGGAACTTTCTTCTAATGTTTCTGAGCATTCTTTTAAGTTTTTCAATACAATTGGTGTTTCTTTCAAATGTTCTTGTAACAATGTTATTTGTTCTTCCGACATGTTTACATTTACATTGATTAATTTCGTTTCAAATGTTGAATTTGATTTTCCTGGACTAATTCTCATTACTGAATTTGGCGTTTGTATTATGCAATCGGTGTTGGCTTCTATCAAATGTGCTAAACTAATTGTTTTTAAAAGATGTGTATTATAATTTATATCAAGCGTGGTTTCTTGTCGCGGTATTACAATATACTTTTCGGATGTAGTAAGCCGAATGTAAGTAATTGATTCAATTTTGAAAAGTACTCGTTCACAGTGGTTATGCAGGTTCTCAATTATTTCGGCTTCGCAAGTGTTCGCGGTGAGAATTGGTGTGTCCGGTCTGGTTCATTTACATATAGGGATTAACTTGCCTAATTTACAATGTTAATCTAAATATTCTTGATCTATTCTAATATATTCGTGAATTGTTTGAAGTGTTTCTGGTAATGGAATTGTGCTGAATATCGTGCCGGTTTTTTTAGGTATCGGATAGCATATCAAATCTCTAATGTCATAAATTAGTTGAACGTTTTCTTCTATTGGTTCTATGGCATTGTATGTGTTACTTTCCTTTATTAATTTTGTATAAGCCAATAAAAGTTGCTCATTACTTAGGATATCCGGGTGAATTATTCCTTGTTTTTCTATAAGTATCACTGTTATTGTGTTATCTACTTGTTCAATAATTTCGTATATAAGTGACTCTAAACTAATTATGTTGAGTGCAAAATCCTCCGCTTCTACAATTTTTTTAAATACTTGTTCTTCTACGATCGAGAGGTTTTCAAGAGGTTTTTGGTCATTAGTATTTGATTCTTTATTACCTGTATAATTTTGTTGTTTGCGTCGAAAAGTTTGTCTATGTTTTAATTGATTAATTCTAGGTCACTATCGTCTAATGTGCCAAATAAGGTCTTAGAAATGCTTTCTACAAAATTAAATAGTCCTCTCTTTATTCTTAGATGCATCACGTTCTTATAATGTACATTTATTCTCCAATGTATTTATTTTAACTTTTAACACGTTAATTTCCTGAGACTCTACAATTACTGTGTTCACGTAATCGATTTAGTTCATATAATCGGTCAATTACTTTTTCTTTTGCCTGTTGAATAACGCTAGTATCTACTTCTACTATTAACTTTACTACGTTATGATAGAGGAAAACTTTCTGTATGTCTTCTATAAATAAATTCTTATCTTTTAGATTTGTAAGTTCAATGTCTTCGCCTATCACTAGTGTTAGCGTTGCCAATAATATGAGCTTATTCATCTGAAGTCAATTTTTAAATATTTTTAACCTATTACCATGTATTTTATAATTGCCGTATATTATTACTATGGATTTTATAAATGTCTTTTATTAATAAATCTTCCCCTAGTATCTTTATATAATTTTTATTTCATCGATAATATAAGGTTCCAATCATTCGGAATCCAACTTATTTCATTTATGTTCGTTATGCATTAGAACTCTATAATTGACTTTAAACACGTTTTGTAATTTAATTTCCTTATCCTGATTTCATTTATTTGTAGCTTTATTCCTTTCTATTATTAGCTTGACTCTAGCTAAATACAACTCGTGTCTATGTGTCCATAAACGAAAGACTTCTTCCTTGCTCATTGCAGTAGTAGCAGCTATTGCACCGTGCAAATGGGTTTTTCTATCAAAGGTCAACTCAAAGGGTGTACATCCTATACTCTCATACATTGCAGTGTTATATCCAAAACAAACTAGGTTCAATATCTCGTGCCTTTTTCTGCCTTTGTCCTTAGTACAAGTCCTTATTAAATCTCCTATTAAAGCGTGTGCACGTACCAAGGAGCCATTGCTCTGTGGGTGGAAGCTAGTGGTTTTAATATGCTTAATCTTAAAAGCTTCTTCAAATTCCATCATCAATTTTAACTCAAAATTCGCGCCCTGATCAGTTATTATCGTCTTGGGTGTGAAAAGTACGTAAATATAATGATCCATTAATTTCTCTATTATAGTTTGTGCATGCTGATTAGGAAGCTGTACAAGGATAAGATATTTGGTTAAGACATCTTGTATTGATAATACATATTGA